ACATTTGTTATCTTCAAAGTGATGGATAGCATCTGGAATTCGATTCCCTCAATCGTCTAGACGCCGGATTTGATTTTTTACCGGATTGATGATACGGAAATTCTTGACTTGTGCAGTCTGGTGGACGATCTTATCGTGTTGGCATAATGTGGTAGCATCATCGGAATTTTTAGTGGTGTACAACAAGAAAATTTAATTTTAGGTTGATTTTGAATCATCAAATAATTATGAACTTCATAACCTTAAGTTTTAGTGTTCATTGATATTTTGTTGTTTCAGTTTTTTCGAAGAAGTTGTGTTGCAATTTAGTTGCAGTTATTTGTTAAATAGTCCACGATGACGGAGTTGAATAAATTAACGTTTATTAGTGATTATACCGATGTGTTTCGATAATCTAAAATGAACATCATTAAGCTGTTCGTTTGAACAATCACTACCTCTTATATACATTACACTTCCCGCTAATAAATTTTGTTTAAAAATACGCCTTTTTATCTTAGATTTGCAGCAGTTAAGCCTCGGACGCTCTAATCCCTTTTACTCTGTAAGCATCCTGCTACATTTATTCAAATACACGCAAAGATCTTTGGCTAACAACTTCTAATATTGAGACCTCACCGGTTTGTTTTTAATAATACTGTCATATTTGGCGGCTGCTGATATATGTTGTTCAGATGATATCTAAGCAACATATATCACGAGGTTCAAACTGAAGAAGACTCCTCTCAGATTCTTCAAAAATATTTGTAAAGGTTTTATGCACATTTTTTGTACAATTTTTTGGAACTGGGAAATTTTTTAAATTGTCAACATTATTTGATTTTTTTTATTTATTGGCTTAAAAGTTTTCTTACTGACCGAAAACAAAGAGTAGTCATTAGGAAAGATGGCCAGAGTTACTTGCCTAGTTATGAAAATGCGATTCGCGGAGTTCCAGAAAACAATTACGTTGGTCTGTTTGCTAGTGATACTGTAGCAGTCTCTTGTGGTTCTTACTCGAATGCGTTAAGCTTTAAAGCTAAAGCTGTCGTTAAAAATGTAGCCGATTACTGTGAGATAAATAGATTGATTTTATCACGACAAAACGGACCTCATATATTTCTCTCAGAGACTCAAACCATAGTTTGATAGTGCATCTCTAACAAAAATCTCCTGAAACAAAACTTTCTTTAAGTTTTAGGGTAGTAGACTGCAGTGGTCAAATTAAGACGACAATGTGCTAAAGAAACTGGCTAATCACTGTTTTGTTCTATGACAGCTAAGACATAAAGTCGATTTGCCTCGGTTACGGCTTACTGTACTTACACCCAGTGTCAGCTTAAGGTATGAGGTAATTGCTCTAGAATCATAGAAATATTTGTCCAACAAAAAGAAAATAATAAGGACCATATTATTCACACTCATAAGTATTCCTGCGGGATCTCTTTATTCAGTAGGATCTGCAGACATTTCCTTGACTTTTTATTCTAAACAGCATACTAAGCTCATAACCTAGGACCTAATCTTAATATTAATATACCACCCCATCAACTAACCACTGTAGTCAATACCGCACTTGTTTTACCCTTCGAACTTCACAACAAGTTAAATGTCAAGCAAATATCAAAAATCAATGAATTCAAGTATACAGTCTGCAATAAACCTTTTTATTCAATTGACGAGTATTTAAATTCAAATTTAAATTTTTAAATTATGTTATAATCTGTGTTCCGGTTTATTATTAATGGTATATTAATGTAATATGTTTTTTACGTTCCATACACTTTTTATAATGTTGTTTGTCCAAGATAATTCGTACACAATATTCTCAATTTTCAATAGATGCAGACGAGCTTACTATCACTGACAAATTCGTTTTAAATCTAAAAAAAGTATAAAAAGCGAAACACTCAAGACTTATCTTGATCAAATCGGCTAACCTCTTTGTTATCCTGTGACAAGGCAGTACCAACCCGTAGCAGGTCGTTTGTCTTTGAAGTGACCAATCTTGTAATAATTGTGGTCAATTAGCATCTTGGTAATTAATATGTTCAATTGATACCTATTTTCAAAATTTAGTTCAATCATTACCAATCTAGTCGTTTGCTATGGCACATATATGCAACGTGTTGGTTAGCCTTGTGAATTGGTTTATTTCCATTTTTAGAAATTCTCTTGTTCTCATTTTATTATTTAATTAGTTAAGGGTTCCCTTAGAACGTTAACTCGAGGAACACCGAATAAATTTCATCATCAGGTCGTTTGTTTCAGGTGATTTTTTACTGTCGCTTGTATAAAATTTATGCGATTTATGCTGAAAGTGGCAAAGACGCTGTTAACAACAACGTCTTCGTCAAATATTATTAATGATTAAGACTTGTCCATCTATTGAAGTTCACATACTTTAACCTCAATGAAGTGATTATTATTTTTTCAAAGAAATTTCCACAGGCTACTGTAATAATTTTTATAAAACATCTTCGATCCATCACAGGCAAAATTCCATTTGAGATGCTAGGAGTTTGCAGCATTCCACGGCAAAGAATACATTGGAGAGAGCGGACGAAAAATATCAACTAGGCTCAAAAAACATGAAATACCTTCAAGACTAAGATAAATAAACTCATCAGCAGTTGCCGAATACAACGATGAAACCGGACATAAAATTTTATTCGATAAAAATAAAATTCTTGCATGTAATTCATTCTTCTACCAACAAAAAATCCGAGAGTCTATAGAAATGTATAAGCAATCTAACAATCTTAACGGCGACTCAGGTCTTTACGTGTCACCAATATGGGACGAGACGGCGTTTATGCTCCTAATACACCTCCGCCCCCCTCAAACAATATATCAGCAGGTACAAAGTAAAATGGCAGCCAGTCAGCCAGTTTCAATGAAACTCTGATGAAACCAACAGTTTTATAAAAATAAATGATTGTTATACCTTACATAGAACTGTTTGGTATTTAATAGTAGTTTGTTCGAGCTATCTTAGCTTATCGTTATAATTGATAGCATTCATCATTTTCTTCGGATGATTGGTGTTTTTGGTTAATGTATCTCGCTTTTGTTTAATGTATTTGACTGCTTCTTTTAAGGAGCACAGTTTCGATGAGCTTACTTTCTGTGGGTTTTATGAAATTTATGGTATTAGTTAAAGCAGATGTTAATGTTAAAAAAAAAGTTAAAATAATGGGAACATCGCACCAATGTTGGCGTCCTAGCGAAACGCTGTAGTCTAGTATATAAGCCTAGTAGCCTCAGAGTTAAAATTATTCTGCACTTGATAAAGGGTAGATAAAGTTCGACAATCTCTTAGTATTTCTACTGAATCATTGTTTATCAACTTCAAGCAAATCTATGTTCATTACCCACCTGAAATTTTGCCTAAATTATATAATTTTTGGCACTTAAACTTGGGCGTACTGTGTGCCACGTTTTATTATTCTGCAACATTTAGAAGCAGACTTTAGTAAGTCAGAGTGAGGGTGAAGGACAATATGCATGTCAGGTATCGTAAAATGAATAATAATAAAAATAGAAACTAGGGCCCGGTTCTGATGGCGAGCCAGTCAACATAGGGTTGGACTTCTGGGACATATACATATAACACAGTGCTTACATAAAATGAATAATCTAATCACTTAATTGATTATGAAAGTGGATCCAACGATCCGCGACCCTGTAGATCAACTACGAAATAGTCAATCAAAAACAAACTATAGGAGCTACTCAGAATCCGACCCAACGAGTGCTTCTATCAACTGTTTAGGCTAGACCGATAAATAATGCGAGTCAAAAATAAACATTAAACCAACCAAAATAAAATATGAGAGAGTATCCGACCACATAAAACTGACTAGTGCACTTCCTCGGGCACCCGGTGGTCATTCAGATCTCGGATAGCTTTACTTTCACACGTCTATCCTGACTAACCAAAAAAAAAAAATGCTATGCAATTCTCCGTTATTGTTATTATTATCATTAAGCAATATACACATCTTCACTAAGACTCTTCTTACTGGATAATATAAATTAGGCAACACTACGCCTCTACTTTGGCGACACACGCCCGTGCAATAACACAATGTTTATCGGGCGATATACTCCTCTCCAATCCACATCGGCGACACACGCCATATATGGTACACCGTTTACCTTCATGTAAACCAAACCAGGCAACAACACATCTCCAAATTTGAAACACGTACTTTTGCACTTACTTGTGGTTAAATGACTTGACAAAGGTAATTTTTTAAAACTGCAGCAATTTTAATTGGAGCTCGGCATTTTAAGATATGCGAAATAGCCCCCTGAAAAGGTTTTTACAATAGCTTTTTTCTACTTTTCTTTTATTTTCGCTTTTTTTTAACCCATTGCAACTTCCCAAATCTCAGAGTCAACAACAACAAAAAAAACAAAATACTTCACGGCTAGCAACCGGTGCTCCCAAAGGGAATTCGTACCAATCAATATAGAAAGAATATAAAAAAGCATACAATTTTAGACGCTATCCACGCATCTTCGGTCTACTCGCTGCGCTACGAGATGGCGTTAGGATGGCAAAAAGAAAAAAAAAGGAAACGTACGGGGACCTTTGGTTTGAATAAAAGGAAAATACAAATGATTTTTGGGTAGGCGCTTACGAACAAAGGGAACAAAAGAAAATAATGGCAGCATTTAGTGTACTAATTTGCGACAGAGGAGTGTGTGTACACGAGGAGTTCACAAATATTAGGCGTAATTAAACCTTCAATTATTTTATATTATCTGCTGCGCGCGTTAAAAAAAAGAACAGTACTTATAGATTAAGCGCACTCTTTTCTACAGTACAGTTCCGTATTCACTGAACCAAAGGCTATCCCAAAAGATCGGCACTTACGGTACGGTTGATAACCGATCTAAAGTTTAATAAATTATAATACATTAGAAAGAAAAGAAAACAACACAGAAACACTTAAAATTAAACGAATGGCTTATCTGCTCTCCTTGCGTTGGAGACCTCACAGGTAGGCGAGATGCAGGTCTCTGCCGGTACAAAGTCATGCCGGTGCGGGATCCGAGCAGATTATTCGGCGCTCGCCACCAAGGCAGAACAGGAACACGAGCAGTAAGAACAAGAAGATGGCGAAGAAGAAGGAACACAAAAAAAACCGTGCGAACATTAAATAACCACTTAAATAAGAGCCAAAAATTACCTAGAATACATTACCTCCAATCCGGAGGGTTCTTCAAAAATAAATGGTCGAAGGTAAAGTTAGCGGAAACGTGCTTCAACAAAATCCCACAAAAATGGGCTAGGAAACTAAATACGGACACCACAATCTACTCAGCCACATCCAGATCTCTAATTTATTATTTCCCAGGAAAAACAGATCACCAACAAGAGTAAATTTCTTCCCTGGAAAACCAAAAGCACGAAGACTTCCGCTCGCTCACTATACACGCGCCATCTGACAAGGGAGGACATTCCATCCACTCCTTTTTTACACTCAATACGTCCCATGCACACCAGCCAAAAAACTACGAGAATCATCATTATAGTATATAAACAAAACATCGGGCAGCACTGCTTAATGAAGTCTTGTATCGTGTGTGCTAGGCTTAAGAAGTTCAGAAGGGTTCGCAAGGTCACAAGGTTCTTCATTGCTTTACCTCAGAAGCGAATTGTTACGGCAGGTCAAGGATGTGACGTCATCATCCAGAATTTATTCAAAATTCAAAAGTTTGATGTGCGAACGGAAAGGCAGTAAATTTCAATTCAAGTTAAAGAGTGTAATACATTACAAATAAATATTTCATGAAGATAGTGATTTTCGAAGTGCAACCGCACTTGGAACCTGAGATAAAGACGTTGCGCACGCCTATGATGATTTCCGGAACCCTGTTGCCCGCAGGCTCCACGTGTCACTTCCTCTTAATAAATAACAAAACGGACGTTCGGGCGCGCTACACCGTGTTTACATTTGTTAAATAATAAAATATATATTTGAGTAACGAAGTAACTTTCGATCATATGAACTGCAAATCCCAAGAATACTGAACGGAAAGTAGATAGAGTTGTAAACCTTGGGGTTAAAAAGTAATCAATAATTGATGATTTTATCTACTAATCCACGGCTTTGGTTATAGATCTGATAACTCCGACCAACGGTTTTAGGGCCCTTCTAGGGACACACAGATACACACACAGGAAGGACACCCCTCTCTTAGCCCTTCACTGGTCCTAGAACGATAACAATGGCGGTACCAAACTTTGATTTTTTTTTAGACAACTAATCACACGGAGATTTCTCGGACATATTAGAAGAATGCACAAAACAATGATCAAAATGAATGAATAATCTAATCACTTAATTGATTATGAAAGGGAATCCAACAATCCGCGATCCGCTAGATCAACTACAAAATAATTAATCAAAAATAAACTATCGAAGTTACTCAAAATCTGACCTAACCAGTGCTTCTAAAAATCCAGACTATCTATGCCGGCTAGCGTTGCGTTCACTTCGAAAAAATACCAAAATACTATTAAAACAACCAAAACGAAATATGAAAGAGCATCGACCACTTAAAGCTTCGTGCATAATTAAATGATGAATAAGATTTAGGAAAATCACTTTAATTTTCAACGAACGAAACATTCTAGTATTTTTTTGTTTTTTTTAAATATCCTGAATTATCTCAACGCAACGTGAGTGAGACACTCTAATGTATGCATCGTATTATTCAGCTTTAACGATATGATTTATGTAAGGCTTTTGAATTGACCGGGTTAAAGTATAGCCCATGTCCCTCCCGATGCAGGTCTCAAATAGAGCACTATCAACTTCGCATCGGTTCTCATTGTGTAGTCAACACGCGATTTTGTCATACAATGACTGTCATACACTTCTCGGTGGAATATTGTGATCGAAGTCACCGGCCGCCTACGGAATGGGACTCGAATGTATGCAAGTAGCGAGCTCATTGTCAGGCGATCCATTATTGAGCGGCCATATTGGGTTTACATTGTGCCAGGTATACAGTTTGAAGAATCACTACTTTATTTTTTACGGCTAACGCAGGAATGGCATTGTTCAGAAGAATTCTAGCAATTTATTATGCTTTATACTAGAAATTTTCTATAAATAACAATATCTATTGTTTCTATTACTAAGGATACAGATGTTTAACTATAGGCTGTTCTATCTCAATGTCGGTGTCGACTATTTTTTTGTTAAAACTATTTTTGGTGAGACTTTAATGATAGAGAAATGAATAGATACTTACGGAAGCGCCTTCCTAAGTATTTTTGTTTAGCTTAGGCCATCAGTCGTATAACATAAGTAATAAAATGGCTACATCCGCACCAACAAAACATATTTCAATAATTCTCAAGTGAGTGAAATATGTATTATTTTGAAAGCGAACGAGTTTAAACGTGGCCTTACATCCACAAAAGATGAGTGCAGTTCCGAATGTCCTGTGGTAGTGTCTACTCCCGAAATGACAAAATTCATGCGAAATTGTTGAGGTCACAGACTTGTCGTAACGTACAGTGCCTTCAATTTTGGTTGTGAAAAAAAAATCTCGGGAATGTGGGTGTCCCGTTTGCTTAGAACAGTTTTAACGCTTTTCCGTCGCAATCCTGATGAATTTCTGCGTCTGTTTCTACGTGTTGATAATATACGGATACATTGCTACACGCACAGGATACAAAAGAATGGTAAAGACAGTGGATTTTTGATTGCGAATGGGCTAAAAAAAAAGGTCAAGCCGGCTGGGATGTTAGTGGATTACTTGAGAAAGGGAACATCGGCTACAGGAGAGTATTATGCGTCATCAATGAGCAAATCAAGAAAAAGAAAACGATCCTGATTCATCAAGAAAATGGCCTGGGCAATTGCCATCGCCAAAATTATAGAATTGTAGTTACATTTATTATTATATCCTCCGTATTTACCAGATTTGTCTCCCAGTCACTATTTATTGTTTTTTGTTCCAAGGACAAATGCCTAAAGAGGAAATAATCGACCAAACAAATGCCTAATTTGATGAGCTCTCAAAATTTCACAAGCTCTCAAAAAGGCTGGGAAAAATATATAGAATTAAAAGAAGTTTATGTTGAAAACTAAAAGAAAATTATTGAACGACGCTCCAAAGGAATAAAAATAGACCATATTGGAAGTGAAGAGGGATTTTTGTTTCAGTCGTGCCATACAATAGATGGCCATTAATACAGATGTTTTTGAAGGTTGTTTTAGTGAAATGATAAAATATCTTCCGGCAGATTGATTTAGTAATAATAAATAAAAAAATAAAATAATAATTAAAATAAATAAAATAATAAACGATTAATAACAATAAAATTGACAAAATTATATCTCGAATTAAAATTTGGTAGCAAAGGGCTAAGAAAGTCGGGCATCAGATAATGTTACAGCCCAAAATTTAGCAATCCTCACCTCACCGAAAATGCAATTATAAAATTGTTTTTCAGTGAAAATACCGTCCAAGAAAAGTCTATTAAGAAGATATTTATTATTCATATTTTAAAATATGGTACAAGAAAGACCTTTTCAAACCGTCCGAAATCTAGTTTTGTTGTACAGATAAGGCAACTCAATACGGTTTTCAACATGCTAAAAATACAATGACCGGCAGCATTGATAGAAGTGATGGACGTAGGAGGGTGCCCTGCTTGTATTTATTGTGAACTCAGTAGGGCTTTTCGTCCCTTAGGTCGTTTGCAGTGGTTGGAAAGCCCTTGGAATGGATTAAATCTTCTCAACAAAATAGTATGTAACTATAAAAAATAACGACTATCAAAATAACATACAAAATTAGGTTCCGTTATCTCTCCAATTCTATTTTTTTTGTATATATACAGACTGGATGAAGTAGAGCAAGCTGTGTTTTTTGCAAAGTTCGCAGATGACTGCATGTCTCTCATCCGAGATACGGGCGATGTGGATTTGCAAAACATTTGTAACATATTTATGGAGAAGCTAAATACTTGGTTCTCTAACTATAGCTTGTAACTCAATCCCTCAAAATCGGTAGCTTTCAGATTCTATCACCTACAAAAATATGCACAAAAGTAGAAAGTAAATAACATCATCACAACTACTGAAAAAATTAAATTTCCAATTCTTATCTTCGATCATAACCCAAACTTCAAATATAACTGCCATCATCTAGTCTCAAAATTACATTCAGCAGCCTTTTGAAAAAGTTAAGTTAAAACATATATTTAACCAAAAAAAAAATTCGAAACTTACCAATCTAATGTAGAATCTAGAATATGATACGCAGTGCCTTTTTGAGTGAAAGTGCCAAGTCACTGGGAAGGTGTCCTCAAGAGGCAGCTGCAAACCTTATTTTAAAAAATTTAAAATTCTGAGCCTGCCATGTCTGTATATCTTAGATGTATGTTTCTGTGTTCCAAAATAAAAACTCACTCTAGAGAAACTCAGACTAAATTTAACGTCTGTGTAAATATTAGTAGGTGGAACGTTTCATCTCGTTTTGTGATAATTCCTACACAAATTGTAAATTTGTTTTATGGAAATAAACTGAACTGAACTGATTTTGAAATAGAATGCATATCGATTGAACATATTTAATAAGCCTAACCTAACCAGATATGGTGAAATATGAGTTCTGCACTTTTAGACTGGGGTTAAGAACTTTTTGAATAATATGTTAGTTAGACATGACATGAATAGGTCTCTGAAATTAATTTGAGATTATTGTAAGCAATCTCTAACTTTATTTTAATGTGATCTCAAAATTTTAGACGAGAATCTAGAGTGTCTCACAAAAAAAGTACAGTTTAGAAACCTAAAATACTGCCCTGGTTAACAGCCAAAGGTCTGATTCGTTAAGTATTACTTTTTGTATTCAGTCATTTACAAGACACTACATTGAATCCTATATAGCCAAGAATTGAATTGTGGATGTCATGATTTATCCTGTTAAAGGCTTTGATAAAATCAAGTAAAACCTGGGCAGTAATTTTGTTATCATAAGCCTATTGCATATGCAAGAGTACTTTTAAAATGATAACCATACCTAAAAACCTGATTGTTTGGGGACAAAATACTATAAATATTGAAAAATGCTTTT